TCTATCTATCTATCTGTCTGTATATCCTAGTACAAAGTTCAGTAGATACTATCGTACAAGATATGTATCTATATACGTAATACAATATGCTGTAACATAAGAACACAAGAGAAAGACAACGGGATAAGATACTGTAATGTGGTTCAATGCAATCTAATGTTGCAAAATATAGTATAGTGCAACATATTTAATGCAACATATTTCAACACAGCTTAACACAATACCACCAACGACTGTGATATTGCATAATGCAATGTGATAAAAGATAGAGTGTAGTACAGTATAGTACAGCATTGTAGAGTAACATACAGAACGGGACACTGTGAGAGTGTGCCCTTTTTGAGGTTTTGGACACGTGCGAATCCACGAAATGCGGATAACTGGAGAGACTGAAAGGCCAAATAGACAAGTTTCAGCAAACAAAAGTAATCTATAACGGTACAATGTATTATAATATAGCAGAATAAGTTGGGTGATATCATCATGTTGACATAATAACGCATGATATGATTGAGTGTAACATAATACGACATACTATAGTAGAACACAGCATTAATACATCATAACCTAGTATGGCATAGTATGACATGACACAGCGTGTTACATCATAATGTAACACAATAGAACATTAACTTCTATGTATATGCATATATACATATATACTTACATATAGAGAGAGTATATTTGCATATGTATATATATATATATGTATATACACGTATATATATATATATATGGGCTAATATATATATATATATATATACACACACACACACACACACACACTTGCTTGCATGCATGCATGCATGCATGCATGCATGCATGTATGTAAGTATGTACATATATACATACAATATATTACACAGTATGTATGTTTATGTAAGAGAGATAGAGGGAGACAGAGAGATAGAAAGCAAGCACGAGAGAGAGGGAAGAGAGAGAAGGAGAGAAAGAGAGAGCCCTGGGGAAAGAAAGAGAAAGAGAGAGAGAAAGATAGAAAGAGAGACAGAAAGACATAAAGAAAGGAGGAAGAATAGAGCGAAAGACAGACAGAAAGAAAGGAATAACACGAAAGAAAGGAAGAAAGAAAGAAACAAATAAAGAAGAACGAACAAAATAAAGACAGAACGAAAGATAATTACCAAGAAAGAAAGGAAGAAATAAAGAAAGAAAGAACGAACGACAGAAAGACAGTAAGAAATAAATAAAGATCGAAAGGAATGAATAAATGAAGAAAGAACGGAAGACATAAAGACATAATTAAATAAATAAACAAAGAAAGACTAAATAAAGAAGGGAAGAACTAAAGAAAGAACGAACGAACGAACGAAACAATGAAGACAGAAAGAAAGAACTACATAAATAAAGAAATCAATCCAGAAAGACATAAATGAAGAACGAAATAAAGAAAGGAGTAAATGAAGAAATAAATACATAGATAAATAAATAAAGAAATAAATAAAGAAATCAATACATAAAGGAATAAAGAAAGAAAGAAATAAAGACATACATAAGGAAAGAAATAACTAAATGCATAAATCAAGACATAAATAAAGAACGAAAGAAAGAACGAAAGAAAGACAATCAGTTGGATAGATGGATGTTCGGCATAATATCCTGGCAGATCCTGCTTGGCCTTCTTCATCTGCATCTCGGACATGTGATTCACCGGGACCCTCTGCGCTTCAGACTTTTCCGGATCGTCTTTGTCGCCGTCCCGGGTGGCTGAACGCAACCTACACACTTCCTCTGGAAACACCCGAGCAGTTTTATGGTAGGGTGCCAGTCAGGCTGAAGGTGTAAATGGTATAGTTGCTGCGGGTGCGGACAGCTCAGACTCCATGTCAAGACCAAGCCCGGAGGATCTAAAGCCGGCGAACATCTTCGTCCGCCTCAAAGAGTTGGAAGTGAGCTCCCCAGAAAAGAGCACAGATTGTTTCTGGTCCTCTTGGGCCTAAGGGTCCTAGTGCTGAGGTTCAACGTTGTGGTTTTCCGTTTGGGGTTAGTGCTTGGATTTGTCTCCGTGCTCTGCGGCCTGCAGCCCACACACGTGGCAGTAGCAGAATCACAAGCACACCACACCAGAACCTGCCCGCCCGACTGCAACGACGAGGACGACTACTGCTACTGCTCCTGCTGCTCCTGTCACGATTGTTCGCTACAGGTGCTGCTGCGGTTATTGACCTCAAGTATTGAAAATTGTGAGCACGCAAAGCATCACAACTGTGAGCATTGCATGATCAGTTAATGATAGCAGATAACAGTTCCAGTAATCGTCACGAAGGCACTCATAGTTTCGAGAATGCTAAACCGATCAGAGCGGGGATATTATAGTAAGAATAATGATTACAACTGCGCTTGTAGATGCAAATGGACCAACATCTGTCACTGCCTCGCTGCTGCTGATGTCTTAATCATAGTAGGACCAGTATTAAGGCTCCGGGGTACCGACGGGTCCTTCAGGAGTTAGAATGCATTCGGTGTGAACCGACAGTGCTGCTCGTCTTATCTTGCAAGTCACTGCCCTCCTCCTCCTCGTCCTCCTCCTCCTCCTCCTCCACATCATTAACAACATCATCCTCATCATCTTCATCATTTTCCTCATCCTCATCCTCCTCCTCACCCTCATCCTCATTATCATCGTCATCCTCGTCGTCATCGTCGTCGTCGCGTTGTTGTCGGCTTCGCCTTCATCATGAACGTCATCCTTTTTATCAGTATCACGGTTGTCAAGCAGTGTGCCGCAGAGGAGACTGCCTTGCGGCAAGGTGTGGTGTGTGTGTAATATCAGTAACGAACTGTAAGCATCAGACGACTACGAATAATCAAGTACGAACTCTACTAGGTGCTCGTAGGAAACAGGGATACTGCTCGAATCAAAAGAACATAGCAGTGATGATCATGGTGATGCTTGTTGTCCCGCTCGTGCTGTTTCTCTTGACAGTCATGTGACCGATGCGATGCCTGATCCTCGGTGGCATGATTTCACGAACAGTCTTGGGCGTGCAAGTCGGGCGTCGAAAGCCTGTGCCTGCATCAAAATCGAAGTCCCACCATGTTCAGAAATCACCGACTCCAGGCCCAATCCTTTGAGCTGAGACTCCACCCACCAGGTGAAGATCGGAGATCTGGGCCTCAGCCGAGGAATCGCTGTAGACTTCTCCGGGGAGGCGGGCAAGTTTTTGCCTGCCATGAATGGACTCAGCTTGTCTTGTCCTTGCGTTTTCACTCCAGGCCCTCCACCCTCTGGAAGAGCATCTCACCGAGTACGTGGTCACCCGCTGGTGTGCATGGGGACGGCTCGAGGTTGCCACGTTGGCAGTTCTCAGTAATTGCAGGTCTCGCTTTGCTTGCCGAGTAAGTCAGAAGACGACTGAGCTGCAGCTGTCGCTGTGGAGCTTTACAGGTATCGTGCGCCAGAAGTGCTGCTGGCAAGATCCAAGTATGGGCCAGCCGTCAGTGCATTGCCATCAGGGTGCAAACCGTAGCATCACGTAGCGTCCTCTTCGATGGGGATCCACTCTCTGGTTCTACTGCCCCTGCCAGACCCAACGCCTCAATTGTGGCCCTCACGGGGCTTTTGCCAGGCCGAAAGTTGATGTTTGGTCCGTTGGCTGCATTCTCTACGAGATGTGGACGGCGAAGGCTGCGTGCTTGCAAAGTCATCGCTTGGGATTTCCGACGTCAACAGTGTATCGAAGGCTCTAGACTCTAAACCACCAAGCCGTCAGACATCGCAGGCCCTTTTCCCTGGCAAGAACAGTGTGGACCAGTTGACCAAGGCAGCGAAGGGTTCGACGGCAGTAGCAGGCTAGAACAGGCAAGGATGGTGTCGGGACTTGGGAGGTCGTTGGTTCTCTATGAGCTTTGTGCTTGCAGGTCATGGGCGTTTTGGGGACACCGACCGAGCAGTCTGCATCCGAGACATTTCGGCAAGTTCATGCATTGAAGGGCGCACCCTCTGCTGCTCAGGGACCAGTGGTGGGTTCCGAAGGCGCTGATGACTGCAGAGTTGCATGCTTTTTTCCTGGCGCTGCAGCTTGTCATGGCACAGTAGTGCCTTCTTTGACTTCCTGACTGTCCGGGCCATGCAGTATTCGGCAAGATTCTGAGTCAGATGCTGTACAGTGGAACTAACAGAATGTACGACCGCACCTTATATGAGATGGTGACATATCCACCATGCACACGCAGACTAAATCCCATAAATCCCCCCTCCCCAAAGACCTAAACCCGAAGCCCTAAACCCAAACCCTAAACCCCTAAACCCTAAACTCTAAACCCTAAACCCTAAACCCCTAAACCCTAAACCCTAGCTAAGCTCTGTCAGCCCGAAGCCTTCCTCAGACCCTCCAGGAGTCCAGGCCCTTGTTACATCGAGCCCTTTCTCCGGCTCGGCCCCGGGGACTTGGCCCGGCGAAGTTGCGCGGCCTCCCGGAATGATACTGTATACGGTAGAAAAAAAGTAGAATGTAACAGAATATAAAATAATATATAATATAATATGATATAATATAATATAATATAATATAATATAATATCATATAGTATAATATAATATAATATCATATAATATAATATAATATAATATAATA